TTATAATTTTTATTATAAGCATTGCCTTAGGGTAGAGCGCGGTTTTCTAACCGCCCAGGACTGCCACAGGTCTACGAATTACACAATCTCACATAAGATTGTTAACCTCAAAAATCTGATAAAAATTGGAGTGTTGCAGAAATCTGCTGCGCTGGTAGTGCCAAACAGCATTGATAGTAAAACAGAATGTAAGAGCAAGTAAAGAATATTGGTTTTAATATTTTCGAGGTAATTTGTTATACATTACTCACTTTTAAAGTATTTCAATTCTTACTCAAACGAAGTATAAGATAGTCTTGACATCTGTAAGATTTTTCCCCGGCTTGCCAGAACATTTCTCAAAGCCAGCATTAAATCTCTGTAAGTCGACGGCAGCTGGCTTAGAGAGCGGATTGCTAGAACAATGCACTGCTCAAATAGTCTCGAGAAAGATGCATTTGTGTATCAAATACTTCGACGTAATTCTTTGGCAATAAATTTTACGAGACGAATATTTAAAAATATGTATTATTTCTTAACATTTTGTCAATAAGCAAAATTAATTAATCTACAATTTTAAGGCTTACCTTCACTTATATATATACATGTTAAACTATTTAGATAGATTGGTTTCTATAATAATCTAGAAATAGATGTTCTAATTGTACTAAAATTAAAAAAAAGTTGCAGTGAATTACACTGAGTAACCAGAAAAGTATTTTCTACAATCTAAAGTTTAGTAAAGACTTACTAAAACGGTTTTCAAGTAAAATGTCAAAACGTTCAGTCAACTTGGAAGTTCCCGATTTTATTACGCGAATTAATTTTCTCCGGGTAACAGGAGCTAAGTTCCTAATGGCAGTTAATAAGACGCAAGTATTCCTTTGGGCGAGTCCGCCTTTAAATCTGTTTACCTTTATGCTCTCAATGTCTCACAGAATGTTCTTATCGTGTTTGCGTAGGTTCCAGCTTCTGATAATTTGTTAAAAGGACCCAAAGTTAAATAAAGTTGAGAATTAACTTAACCGGGCAGATATTCTATGTGAATGTTAAGAATTAAATTGTTTACGTATCCTTTCTTACACTTTCTCAAAGAAAGGCGGAAAACATGTTACCATTAAACTTGTAAATAGACCATTTGTTAAAGAAACTGGCAGAGAAACATGGCAAAGGTATTAATAGTATATGTCATGTAACTGAGAAGTACGCCGCGATGCCTAGACACCTCGTCTTCATACAGAATAGACGACGCTCCCGCGGGATGCCACGAGTAGATAGAGAACGTAAAGAGAAGAAGCTAAGTCATTAAACAGGTTTTTGAGAACACAGAGTATGCAGAATAAGATAGAATTAGAAGTTATAGTATTAACATAGTATTTATTGACCAAAACAGAAACACTAGGTATATGGCTAAATTATATCCTTACAGTTACAAAGAAGTTGGGCCAAGTTCATGTAAAATATGTTTCCGAAAAAGATTTTCTTCGTAAATATTTTAATACGGCTGAGGGAATGCGGCGGCAGGGCCGAGCGGACCCCCAGCCCGCTAGCCGGATGTCCGCCTCCCCACATACGGCACTTCCGGTGACGTCACGATTAATCTCGTGCCATCTTCCGCCGCGCGACGCACCAAAATAACGACTAGATACGATGTTTTCTCACATTTTTATTACAACGTGATTAGGCAATATTAAAAATTAACCGTACTTGCATAAAATATCTTACTCAATATTATAAATGCAAAAAATTAGATAGATGGATGGATGTTTGTTGGAGTTTGTAGCCTAAACTACTGAACGGATCTCGATTAAAATTGGCACAGATGTAGAGCATAGCCTGGAAGTACGCATAGACTACTCCCTATTGTTTTTTTTAATTCCACGCGTACGGACCATGGCTGACTAGGACATGGAAGTCGACCCACATTAGGCCTAGAACCGTTCATTGACGATGTAAAGTGAGCTGATGAAGATTATGATGTCCATTTATAAGGATCTATGCATAAATATATTTGGGTTAATTAACATAAAAGTTTGCTTATTTAGAAGCTTCACATAGTGTAGCAATTTGTTCGTAAGTGTCAGAATGTGTGCTCCAAGTTTCCCATGTCACACGTACGCAGTTAATTCACAACGCGGAAGTTCATGTAGTTAGTGTGTGTAATTGCAGTTAATAAAGTTCCAAGTATTCCTTTGAGATGGCTTGAAGCGAGCTTATTTGAGTTCATATGACTGCGGTAATCTTGAAAATTTTACTAAGCATTCCTCTGGTAGTGCAAGTTAAGAAAACATTTAGTGATAACATAAATTTTATTTCAGAAATTAGAAAATTAGACACATATGTGTATATTATTAAAAATGTTATAAATATGCTTCAGTTCGGAAAAAAGTGACAAATTGATATTACTCAAAACAGGGGAAGCAGATAACATAACAATTTGGAACTTATAAACATTATTTTGAGACTTTATCTGCGACAAAGTATCGTTTAATAATTTTTACATGTTGCCAACTAATAACAATACAAAGTCTGAATTAACGTGCTACTCTGTCGCATAGAATGTACGCTGTAACTACTGCAGTGTATTAGCAATGTACAGATAAGACATCTCAAGCTTTCTCGGCTGTTAAACGCAAACAGTTGCCCGCTGCACTCGACACCGAGCTCACTTATGAATAGAGTAATTACAGATGTACACTTAGTTGCAACATTATACAACACTCCTGGATTTGTCAGACGTTCGTATTAAAATCTTACTTGAAAGTTTTACTTACTTTTAATAATGTAATGTTATAAATGTGAAAGTTTAGATAGATGTTTGTTAAAGTTTGTAGCCTAAAGTGCTGAACGGATCTGGATGAAATTTGATACAGATTTAGACGATAGTCTGCAAGAACATATGGGTTACTTTTTTTTATTCCACCCGGATAGAGTCACGGGAGAAAGCTAGTTAATAATATTTTTAAAACATATATTTTTTATCTTTAGACATTTTATGCCAGTCTGTGCCAGAATTGTATTATACTCTCCTAATATATGAAAATTGTTTCAGAATTGAATTAATTTTAAAACTCTACGTTGCAGGTCCATTATCATTTATATGGTCCAAGTTAGCCGGCAATCCCCTCGCAGCTTAATTCCGTCCGAAACTTTTCATTTGTTATCTTCATTATTTACATTATATGGAATTTCGTAAATTATTTATCATCAGCATGTTCACAATGTCCTTCTGTTACGTCAAAATTGTTTAACTAATTTAAAATAATAGAAAACCAACAACATACATATCATTATCATTTATTGTAATATTCGTGCTGTAAATAAAATGTATAAAATATATATTATATATATAAGGGAAGTTGGAACTTAAGTCATATGCAGATTTCTTGTATTTTAAGTTTAAAACGCCGTGATTTATATAGCTCTTGTATGAACTTTTAGATTATAAACATAGTGAGTTTGATGTTTTAAGTCAGTATGTATCTGTAGCATTTGTATTGATATTATGTACGTTTTTTATGTTTATTCAACATGTGGGTGTTCTTGTGAATGTTTGATAAAATGAAATAATTATTTCATGTATTTAATGAATAAATAAATAAATACATAGTTAATTCACATCCTTACTTGGAAACTGTTACATTTAATATCACGTTTTACTTCACAAAATCTTACAGCAGTTTGAAAATGAACCATTAAATAATTAAAATACCTCATAAACCGCTCTCATAGTCGAGTTAATTATTAATGGTAGATTTAAACTTCTATACGTGCGTTCACAATTTCGGGCTCCCTCAACTGTCCCCGCTGCAATTTCGCGTCAAACCGTAAAAGCCGAACACTTACCGAGCTCCGTTATCTACCCATCTACCATATTGTGCGTTTCAGTGGGTTTGTTACAACTCAACGTAGATAGAACATACGGATGGAAATTGCGCATGGATTTTTAAAATTTATGTAATAATTTTTACTTTTGTTTTTAATAATATTATTCACTTCATTGTTTTGAAATTTATTATATTAAATATACTATTGGTATAAGATTTTAACCCAAATATTTATACCTATAAGTTTTTCTTAAAACTCAGTTTATCGTTATTTTTATGTTTCATGTAATTTAAATATATCAAAGCGAATGTAAATAATAAGTAATATAGAAGTAAAACAAAGTTAAGGGTAAAGTAAAAGTAAGTTTGGCTAACTTTGCACCCGTATGTTCACTTAGAAGGCTTTTCCAGTAATAAAATTTGCATAACTACGCTCCTTGGCGCGGCTGCAGTCTCTTATTAAATTTCCACCCCTCTGTGAAACTCATTAATGGTTTGTACTTAACCACCTAGTATTACTCCGTGATAAATCATGAGGCATCATGTAATATCATATCATAGCGTATGCTATGGCTGACTTTTATTGCCGTCTCAAGATGATAGTAATCCCGCGGGATCTCGACGAGGCAAGGCCGCGGATTATCCCTAATCTTTCTCTTATATATCTTTAAAAATAGAATTTATTATTCCAGTTTAGGTAAGGAAGATGACTGACATACATTATACTAATATTATAAATGCGTAAGTTTAGATGGACGCCTGTTTGTTAGAAGATATCTCCAGAACGGCTTAACCATTCTAGCTGCCAATAGAATTCAGTCTAGAGTAATAATTTCACCTTTTTTAATTGTGTGCTTCTGCTGAAGTCGCAGGCAAAAGCTAGTCTTTTCTACTAAAGAACAAAGAGTCCTTGATAGATGATGTGTAAAATAGTAAATTGGATATTATTAAGCCCAGAGAGTTACAAGGGCATAGGTTTTACTACTTTCGTATTAAAATTTCAATGAATAAGCAAATTAATAAATTCGTTTACAACGTTTTAAAACATGTCAGAAAATATGAAATGTATTGAATAGCAAGCGCCCATGACGCAGATAACAACCACATGCAACACTTCGCTGATAAACGGCCAGACATCACGCGCTATCCAATTACGATGCCTCCCCGTTCCGACATTCGTTAACTAGTTTTCGTTGCATCGCAACAACATATCGAAATGTTTTATTTCCTGTACATTTTACTCCCAATGTGTTCTTTCACAACGCAAACGTTAGTGAAGTGGTTACCGGATTCAAGCTTCAATTTACCTATTAATTTTAAAAATGGTGAACTTCCATGTTCGAAACAGACAGTTATATTCCCCGAGAGCCTTGTAGGACCAGTGAAAATGAATTCTGAAACGAATGTAAATTCATTTGTGTTACCCATCGACGGCGAAATTGTTCTGGAGGGGACTATAAATTTAGGTGATGATCCATATGAAGCGAATTGCACAGAAGGCAATGTGTATTATTTTGAAAACTCTAAAGCGTCATGGGCTCAAGCTAATGTTTGGAGTTCCACGAAGTTTAATAAGGCAACACCTGACGCGGAAAGAGTTCCATGTTTCGATGACATCGTTGTATTTCCTGCAAACATCCAAACGACAGTTGCCCTACCAGAATTAACACAACACGTGAGATATATACAAGTTGGAGATCAGCGATTTACGAGCTTTATGAAATTTTATGATTACATTACAAATGCACCTGACGATCCGGTACAATTCTTTCTAAACACACTGTACGTTACAGGATTGGAAATTGGGGATACGCAATGCAAATCGAGATCCGGCTGCCCGTGTCAAGATACATTTTTAGAAACCGACTGCTCAACGAAATACTGCCCGGTACCAACTTGTGTACATCCCATTAAACCTATTGGGCATTGCTGTAAAATTTGTGGTGGTTACATTTTCTTTGACGTTACTAAGAGTTTCGACATGATGGACTTTAAAGAACTTGTACAGAAGGTAGTAGAAAGTTATGGAACAGATAAATTGGAGTATCACATAGGGAGATTGCCAAATGATAAAGCGCAACTTGTGATAGTTGATAAGGAGGAGTATGAGGGTACGAGTGCGGAGGTACTGAACATGATTGATTACAACATGAAGGAACATTGGGTGGAGGGTACTAAATATGCACAAATAAGTGGGAGTCCTCTCTATAAATCTGGAATGGGTGGGAAAATTTTCATATCAATGTTCTTTGTAGTTGTTTGTACGATCGGTATGATATATGTTTACTACTATAAAGTACCAGAAATCAGATACCCTATTATGGGTAGGAGCTTGCCGAACTTCTTGGCGAGGATTCAAAGACGCAGTGATAGTGTAGTGTCGCTAACAAGACAGGATTCCGTGATGACCAGAGCTGGTAGAACAGCGTTCAGGAATCCTTTGTATGATTCTAAAAGGGGGCGTGTGCAAGTTGAAGATGAGGTTACGACGCAATAGTTAAAACTTACAAATTAATTTCCTATGTTATTACATACAATTATATAGTTTTGTTGACATCTATGTAATATTAAAAATAATGAAATATTTCCGTAATTATTGCTTTTTATTTTAAACATTGCTGATCAGGATAAATTCAGATCAGACGAAAAATATAATATTTTTTAAAGTATTAAGTGTTAGTATTTCAGGAAGTATACTGTACTAGGTCGTAAATCAAAAGTACTGGAAACTCTGGCGCACGTCGCCGTCGTCCGACTGCGATAAATCTAGATCGTAGACGGTTTGTTACGGCCGGCACTGAAGAGTGGCGGCTTGCACTTTTATGACCTCTTAATATGATGTAGTCCTTTTACAATATTTTATCTTACTATTAAATAGGCAGATAAGGAAAATTAGAGCAACAGTTAAATATAAACAAATCTATATCGTACGTAAACTTCATAACACAATCATAACGAAAATACAAATCTTCGCATTCTTATATGAATTTTACATTATTTGATAATCATTACCTCTTTACTTTCCCTTGGCGACCATGTCTCTACATAGAACTACATCGAAAGTTAACGTTAAAAGGCAATTTTCCAGACGAATATTAGACTAGTCAGTTATATCGATGAAAAAAGTTATTCATTCTAAAAGTCAATTCCAGTTACGTGTGATATTAAACAGCGCGTGTCGCCGTCGTAGGACGCATTAACTCTAAACTATTCAAGGGAGTCGTGCGGCCAAGGGCACTTGATTCGATTACATTACTCGCGAGATGTCGTGATTTGAGAATGATTTGGAAACACATCGGGTTTCTACTCGGGAGGTAGGTTGGGGCAGTAAGTGAATTAAGATGAATGGTTTAGGGCGTCGAGTGCCTTATGAGTTCGACGGGTCCTCGTTGCGTCTGAAATTAAATTTATTTTTTTCTCAATCTGTAATACAGTTATAGTTTGCCAATGCAGAATACTATTAATCAAAAGCGATTATGGTTTGTTTTTCAGGAAAATTGTGAAGGAATCGATCAATTTACAAATATGAAGGGTTCGCATCGTGGGAGTTTATGACTTTAAAAATGCAATTGTTCTAAATACGGCGCCAGATGGCCGGTGACAACTTTGGTCCCCGCCGCCTCGGCCGCGGCTGCACAAAGGCGGTCGTTGTGAAACAACTTGCTTTTGTAAGTAATCACGCGTCCACCGCTAACCATGCCTTTTGTGAGGCGCATTAAGTTTTTGAGAGTATGTACCTACATTAGACTCCCATTGTGGTCTGTTTAATAAGGCGAGTGCGCTTTCCACTCGCCTTGTACGGCACCGTCGCGCAAACGAGGTTAATTCACACGATCTATCGCTGTAGATGTTCTATTGTTAGAGTGGACAAGTTCAGATACTGATGAATGCCTCAACATAAACTAAATGTAAATTACAACCAGAGGATTATTTTAGTAAGGATATTAGAAGACAGTATTCTTGATAGTTTAAGACTTCCATTTGTTAAAAGAAAGTGAATTTTAGCAAGTAATTTAACTTGTACATACTCCAATGTAGACTTAGGTTTAAGAAGATGTAGACTTAGCTTTGGTATTTTATAAAGGCATCTTACATGTAGTCTATTCTAGTTAATTGTTTAGTCTGTGTTCTGCCGCCGGTGCATCAACATATCTGTTTTTTGTTTGTCCAAATGACTCCCGGCCGCCATTTGAAACTTCCGGTGAGTTATAATTCCAGTGGTTAGAGATGTTAGCACTCGATACGGTGTTAATGATCGATATATTATATTGTCAGTGTAAATTTGGGATGTAGTCTACTTTTATTTGTATACTCCAGTGTATGAACGAATTGGTTAGTTTTTTGTTTTTAAATAAAGGTCTTGAATATGAATCAAACAATCATACATGAATAAAGATCAAGAATTACGTAATATTCAGTATAAATAAATTTAACTGTGACATTTATACAAATTTTAGAATGTTTCAAAAAGTTTTTAACGCTTGTAAAATTTAGTTCATTATTTTAGGGATTTCAAAACAGAAATGAACATGGAAAATATTTTTAGAGCCGAAAAACTAACTGCAAGTAGTAATTAATTCTTTCAAAGAATTTTTAATGAATAGATGCTTGAAAAATTAGGTCGTGCTTTTTTAAGAACTATTCAAAAATACGAGACGCAAGGCCACTAAAGTGTGTCAAAAAACGTTAGTTTTTCAGCTAGTTTTTCTGTATGAATTTCGTATTTCTTATGAATGTTTTTTCGTTTTTCTTACGACCTGAAGTTCCCACATTATAAAACATACATTATTTCTAATAGAAAGTAAATAGAAAAGTATGAATTGCGATAAATGGCTGCAATAAAATACAAAATAGTTGAAAACAAATCCGACATTACGGGTGTACCACACGTATGAGCGGTGCGTTTAACGCTAAGCCCTCACGAGCGACAGATGTTCGAGCACCATCGTGTTGAGAGCCCTCGGCGCCTGCGGTCGACACTCGACACCGCCCGACACGTCGACACGCCGACACTCCGACACTCCGACACTACGACACTACGGCACTACGACACTACGCCCCGCTAACTGATTACCGTGCAACTGTGTGCACGCCTTTAAAAATTCACCATTGTATGAACTATTTCAAGTATTACTCGAAACACTCGAAACATATGACAGTTGCGTTTTCTTTTTAATTGCGTATTTAAATGTGAGTGGCAGTTTTGTTTCAATGATGGAGTGTTGACCGTTAAGAGTTATAAAGAGATTGAATTGTTGAGATTTGAAAACTCAATGATGAGATATTCTTTGAAACTCAGTACCCTAATGATTAATGATTTCCGTTCACATGGTCGAGGGTTCGAATCTCTACATTGTCAAATATCGCAAAACATTATTAGCACAAGCCTAGATCTTAATTGGAGTGGTACTGGAAATATTATTTTAATAAATTTATCAAAAATCTGTTAACTCATGATATAAAAATAAATACAGTTAAATGAAAGCATATAAACGAACCAAAAGTAACGTTAAATAACTATTTAACGTTTTTAACTAAAAATACAAAGAAAAAACTACATCAAATTCCTATTCCAGTATCGTTCACACAGTAAATAACATCAAACAAAGAGAATCTATCAATCCAGAGCTAGTTTCTAGCGCGAACACTGCTCCGGTTAACAAAACCATTAACGGTATAAAAGGAACGAAAAGGAATTAATACTTTCCTTCGCTGAAAGTACCTTATTTACGGTCCTCGATACAAAGGTTGCGGCGCAGGAAATAAATCCGGGGAAGAAAGCCTCCGCAGTTACACTGGTAATAAACACTGCCTCTTTGGTAAGCAATAAAAATAAATTACGTTTAGTCTGATTTAATGTTAATCTGGTTAGTTTTGTTAATGATATTATGATACTCTCGCTGAATATATTAAACAATGCCAGATTGATACATTTTTACATCAATCGATCTAAATAAAGAAAAAATCTTTACTTCTTACGTACCGTGAAAACCGATACCAAAGGATTATTTTCAACCATCACCCTGCTCTGTCTGACTCTGGAAGAGATGAGAATAAAAGTTTCATACGCCCCACCTTTTGCGACGAGGGGACGGAACTTATTTTATTTCTTAACGATTAATACATATAAAAACACTAACACAAATATTTACATCCTACATAATAAACAGACATACATATACAGCAAAAACAAATCAGCGAGAGTCACTCTTAAGGAGATGGATTCCCTCTGTCACTTTATTGGTGATTTTATTCTCACGTGATAACAGAGCGGGATGACGGTTGAGAATAATCTATCTCAAAAATTTTTAATACATAAGTGTGTTGAACTAAGCATTTCCCGACTTAATTTCATTCTAAAACCCTTTTTATAAATCGAAGAGGTTATTTCCCCTTTCTATGCGTTGATACCTCCATAAAATCCACTCTCCTTCACATGCTTTTCCTTGCAAGAAAGTGAACTATAAATTAATTCATATATCGCTTTTATAGAGTCCAAAAGTCTTTAAAGTTACGAATCATTCACTCATAAAGCAACAATCTCAAACAACAGGACCTTAATATAACAGAGGAAGTTCTCTAATAACTGCGGCTTAACTCCTAATTGCTCTCATATTTCGTGCTGACGACGTCGCGGCGTCGTCGTTAAGTTGGATTTTACCCTTTATAACCGTGTCCACCTTTTATAGTACACGGTAGCAACCCTACAATAAAATTATTTTCATTAATTACAAAATAAGATTATTTTTATAGTTAATACAAAGAAGAAATTGTGAGTACAGATTTACGTGTTTAAAATTTTCTACTGCGTAGACAATTGTAAACATATCTAATGTAATTTTTAAATAATTCCCGTATGTTTTTAAAATATTTTCATAAGAAATACAAGTAATAAATGTAAACAAAATAATAAAAACATTTATCAGAACTGGCTGCCGTAACCTGTAGTTACACATAGAAAGTCCCCTCCATATAAGGATCGACTTTCACCCAAGTAATTTACTCGATAATGGATCTGTAAGATCAAATTATCAATACACTGTTTGGAGGCATGTTATAATCCCAACGTAATTCATGCGTTTGATATTTCTAGAATTACTTCACTGAGGGCCTGTCTCACCATTAGCTGATAGACGCTGAGATAGCTTAAAAATGACGTCACTGTCAGATAAGATAACAAAATCCCACATTTCTATAACATTTTTTACACGTTGGATTGTTATCAGACAATTTGCAAGAATTTGGTAAGACTGACTTTTACTATTAGGAAAAAAAGATATCAAGTAATTATCACATGAGATACTTCTAACATTGTAAATTTTGCTTATTTGTAGATATTAGACTAAAACTAATTGTTCGTGAAAATTCCATAATGTTAAAATATACATTAATTTATGTATAAATGTATTTAAATTAAATACAATAACCGAACTTTCTAAAAAAATACCTCTAAAAGCTGCTCAGATATCCGAAGCGATACAACGCAGCACTTATGAGAATGAAATAACAATAAAACATTCATAAAAGCATTAAATAAGCCTATCATCTC